GAAATCGGGTGAAAAAGTGCCGTAAGCTCGGACTCGGCTTCGGCTATTAGTATAAAGCGATTGTCATATTGAAATTGACTTCTCGGGCACACCTTTCAGAGAAAGGCAGCGCCAGAGTTTAGAGCGGTCGACTGAGTCGGAAGCCGCTTTCAGATCTAGGAAGACAGAGATGGTGGGTCTACGAAATGAATGCCGGTGCTCCAGAATTTGGCGCAGAGTAAAGATGTGGTCGATACAGCCTTGACCAGGTCTGAAGCCAGCCTGGTTCTCATGCGGTAGACCATCGACGGAGTATAACACCAGCGAGAAGTTTAGAGGCACTGTTGATTAAACTAATTCCTGTGTGGTTTTCACAAGAGGATCTGTCACCTTTCTCGTAAACTGGTGTGACCACCGATTTACACCATTCCGTTGGAACCTCTTCCTTTTCCCACACTGAGCTCAGGAGTTTTGTTAACTCCAAAACCAAGGCTGAACCTCTATCCTTAAAAACCGATGGGGACAGTCTGTCGGGGTCGGAAGCCTTATGTCTTTTGAGATAACTAATTTTCCGGGAAACCTCCATTTCAGATAGAGGACTGCTGTGAATTGACAGTATTTGCGCAGTTGAAGCTGGTAAAGGGAGGTATTGTGTCGATGGGAACCAGCTGAAGTGTGTCTTAAAATGTTCAGCCCAACGTTCAAGACGGCGTTACAGAATTTGAATCAATGTGCTGTCAGACTCCTTACTTACCTCACGCCTACTTCCTTTGGTCCAGAACTCCTAATTAAACGACAAACATTGCGACTATTACGGATAGCCGCAGCCTTCTCCATCTCTCCACACTTTCTTACCCACCACTTTTCGCGACCATTCCTCAGACTCTTGATGAGCTGGCTTTTAACAGATTTGCGCGCTATGTCGTATTTTGAATCCGAAGGAATGGCTTTGCGAGCGTCCAGCAGGGCAACCGAGGTCGGGGAGATCCATTGTTTTCTATTTGATCGTGTTCCAGAATTTTTCGTTGTTTTGAATGATGTTTGGATCACTTCCTTCATTGTCGTCCAGTGTTCACTGAGTCCTCCGGCTGATTCGTTAAGCCGAGAGGCGATCTGATAGTTCCGCTTTGAAGGCGAATTCGATACCGTCGCTGACACTGTATTGAGGGCATCCGTTTTCGGTCGCTTTTCTGCGATTGTTTATCAGGCGTAGGGAGAATGTCCGGGGTCCATGTCCACGGTTGTTGACCAGTGGAAGCGGCAGTCCTCAGTGGATCTACGCCAGTGGTGGTTGATGGCGATATGGTCGATTTGAGTCCAGCGCTGTGAAGAGATTGGCGGTCTCCGTGTAAGCCGGTATCGTTTCTTGTGGGAGAAGTCGGTGTTTGACAGAAACAGTCCGTGTTCAGCGCAAGCTGGAGTGGGCGTCCTCCGTTGTCAGTCCGATTGGCTAGGATTGCATGTGGACCACCAAGTAGCCCTTCTGACTTGCCCAGGTATTCCATTTGAGCATTGAAGTCCGCGGCGACTACCACGATGTCCGTTGACCGAGCACTTCGGAGCAGTTGAGAGAGATCCTTGTAGGATTCGTCCTTCATTTCTTGCGAACTGCAATCAGTTGGTGCATACACGGATACGACGAATAAGCATCGACGATTCGTTCTGTAGCTGTTGACCCGTACGGAACCATTCAGACGTACGGCGCTAAGTCGGCTGTTAATCGGGATCCAGTCGAGAAGTAAACACGCGGCCTTGACACTTGGCGCAGTCCCAACACGAGCTACGGATGCCGAATCACCTGACACGAAGGTTGAGGTTGGATCTGGAGGATGCAAGGAGATTATTGAAGTAGGGTATTGTATACGCGTTTCGGAGGCACAGCGTACATCTAAATTACAGGTTTCAAGGGTTCTAGCTAAGGTAGCTTGTTGACCGATTTGGTAGTGTGCGGACATGAAATTCGACTAAGTGAAACTGATATTTTGGTTTCTAACATCTGATAGCCTCTAAGTGATGGACCTCATTAGTTGAACGCTGAGTGATACCCCGTGGGTGGTGCAAACAGGCAGCATGTAAGGGTTTGGGAGTGAGAAGTGGGTTGTTGATAAAAGTGGTTTTCTAAATGGGTACTCAAGACTTTAGGGCACTGCATACTTCGCGGTAGCCCACACTGACGAAGAGGTTTTTCTTTGGGAACCCTAACCGGAGCCTATGACTCAAAAGTCTGACCCATAAGCCAGTGGGGCGTAGATCCAACACCAGTACGGGAACAAAGCACTTGTGTGGGAGTTTCTGGAGGCCTGCCACAAAAGGCTTTTGAATTTCGGTCAAGTGTTGTTCGCTGGTACATGAGTTGATGGTTCGCTTTTCGGTATCGGC